CCACAGGGAAGCATTGGGAGGCTACTGCGCATGCACGGCAAATTGCCAGGCATTGATTAAGTCTATGCATCCTTTTGGGGAACGTTCGGCATCTCCATGCAATCTCTGCAGGACCGAACCAAGTTCCTATAGTGGCTGTCGGAGTGATTACCTCTAGAGGTGGTCATAGACAGCAGCCATTTCACAGATAAGGTAGTGTTTACACTGTTGGCCTTGCAGTGACAGGCTAAATGCCCCACAACCACCACATTAAGCTGTAATGGTGTTGGTGACTTTAGTGTCCCTTAAAGGACAGTACATATGTAAATATATGTTTCACTTTGTTTTATTATCTATTGAATATATAACTGAAACTTACAATCTTATTTCTTTTTTCTATTCAGGTTGTTTTCACTGTGTTTCTTGGTCCTTTTACCTTTTTCAATGTACAGAAGACGAAGTACCTCCAGATCCTGACCTCTCTAATGAGATGGATTGGTAAGTGAGATGTCATATAAAGGTTTCAGGGTGTTTTTTGCTGTAATTAATTATTTTATCACATATTATTTGGAAAAATGTATATATAAAAATGAATATGTTCAACAAGCTGCAATTAAACATTGATTTTTTTCCTAAGACCTGTTATCTGGAACTGTGGTCACTGCACCCAGAATAAAATACAGGTTGCCCACACTTTATAATTTACCTGTGTAACGATGGCTCGGACTTACGACCAACTCTCAACGCAGGGATTCAAAGGATACCCCACATTAGAGAGTGTAACGGACCGTTTTGCACACAAGGGGTAAAAACCGTTTAGGCGATACAGGCACAGCTACTGCAGAACACCAAACTCCCGAACTGGATACAAAATAGCACTCCAACTCCCGAAATGGCACCTCCCAAATAGCTGCTAGCAGACGAACAGGAAAAGCAGACAATCAGCTTACACTCCTGGCAATCAGTCTCTAACAGCATACAGTGAATCCCCCCAAGAACGAGACAAGGCTCCGTGTTGAGGGTCAAGCAGTGGTCTGTTTAATGAGGGCTACCTGCCCGGCTTTTAGGCAGGTCTCCCACCTGGTGGACACTCCCCTAGGGGACCAAATGGGAGACTGTGACAAGGGACAGACAAGTAGACAAATAGGACACACAGTCACAATATATTCCCACAATGCATCCTGGCTTCCTCCCCTCTGCCCTGGGAGATAATTGAGAAGTAACTCAATTATCTCCCAAGACACAGGCAAAACTCCATTACACATGTGGGGACACAAAACCAGTATTATACTTTAAAATACATAAAGTAACATTTATTACATAAAACACAGACATGTAACATATCCCCAGATAGCTCAGGTCTGAGCGCACATTATTAAGCGAATAGCGCTCAGACCACACGAATACAGTTTAATCGCCATGGAGCCAAAGTCTTTACAGTCAGTTTCATACGAATGGGCTCCATGGGATTCCTATCTGGGGTATAACACATTCAAACCAAACTACCGAACACCGGGCCGTTCGTGCACTTCCACCGAACAAGAAGGGAGGTCGGCGCCTTCAGCGGTGTTCACGCAAAACTGTGTCCGATTTTAGTTCCATGAAAATAGGGGCGAACACCGCTGTGCATTCGTATGTTTAAAATGGCCGCGACCTCGTGTTTGGGATACGAATGGCAGCCACCCAGCATTCGTCAATTAAGCTGCGGTTAACCGCAGCTTCAGGGAGGTTAATTGCTGGCACACTCCAGCTCCCAGGTGGTCTATTCATTCGTGCGGTTGTTCGGTAGATTGAATCTACCGAACAACCAGCAGAAAAGCACGAATACAGCTTTTCTGCAGGCGAAATAAAGTCTTTTAAAAGGGGGCCATAGTCCAGAGGTAGCAGGCGAGCAACCAGGCTTCTCCAATGCAATGTGGCGAGATTGGTCTCGTCACAGAGAGCAGGTCTATGTTCAGGGAATTTTTGCAAAACATAGATAAGAGGGATTCCTTGCGCTAGTAAGCTGTTCTCTGTTTGGAGGAATTCCCCGAACATAGACCTGCTTTCGAGGGCATTCGAGACTCTGCATCCTCACTTACCAACCAACTCGTTTTACGACCGAGTCGTAGGAGCGGAACTCGGTTGGTAAGTGAGTATCACCTGTAACAATTTTGTAAAAGGGGCAGTCCAAGCAACATAGCCACAACAGCTTGCTATAGTGGTTATGTTGCCTAGAGTGAAATCATATCATTTATATCGATAATGTCAAATTAACACTGTGTAACTTAGAGCTGTAGTAATGTTGCCTAGTTTGCCCCTTCAAGTAACTGTCATGTCCTCAACTCGCATTGGGTTTAAATTGTTTTTATTTTGCTATTCTTTTATAAAATATATCCCTATGGATTTTATATATTTAAATAAACAACAACTGACAGTTTTAATACTGCACAATATGCTCATGAAAAAAAATATACTGGCATGTAACAAGAATAAATTCATTTTAGACCCCTTTTAATTCATGACCATGTGCAAAGATAAGAGGCACAGAGGGTAGATAAAAGCATAAATCTAATCCTTCCCTTGGTGTATATAAATATGACTGCTTGCTTGCCTTGAACATTTGTCAAGCACATTGAAAAGGAAAGCTTCATAAACCAGATGATGTTTGCCAGTCCCAACCATTCCCAAGTCATTTTAATCACAGAATTCTACTCCCTGCAGATATTGACCTGAACTGCCCATGTTCCGAGTTGGATTCTGTCCTTGTAACACCAAGGGGAATAGGGAAGGATGGTGTCAAGGGCTTCTCCTTGTATTGATTTATGGAGCAAGTAATGAGTTTTCACAGTTTTACTGCCACTGTGTTCTTTTCTGCGACAGTGTCATAAATCGTAGATGTAAAATGTTTAACTCTCAACTGTCCGTCAGCATTGCATGTGACGTCTTGTAATAGGAGAGATTGACCACAGATAGGAAGGGAGCTCTGTAATTCTGTTTCATGTCATCCTAATTAACCCATTCCTTTTTACCCCACTGCAGCTTTTATCATCATGATTGTAGTAGCGTTGGTACGGATTGGTGAAGGCAAAGGGGCAGGCCACCCACCTCTTGCACAGTTCTCAGGGATTCGTAACCTGTTTGGAGTCTGTGTTTATTCGTTCATGTGCCAACATTCTCTGCCCTCCTTGATCACTCCTGTGTCAAGAAAGAAGCATTTGACAGGACTTGTACTAGTGGACTACATCTTGGTTCTTTCATTCTACAGCCTGCTCTGCTTCACGGCCATTTTCTGCTTCAGTTCAGGAGCCTTAATGGATATGTACACCCTCAACTTCGGCACCTGCAGCCCCTTTGTACCGCCAGTGATTGGCTATTTTCTTGGTCTGTTCCCAGTATTCACTATAAGTACCAACTTCCCTATCATTGCCGTTACACTACGCAACAACTGGAAGACCCTTTTCCATCGTGAGGGTGGAACCTACCCATGGCTTGTTGACCGTATAGTCTTTCCACTTATAACACTGGTGCCTCCCATCATTGTGGCATTTTGTACTAACCACCTTGAAATACTAGTTAGTGTCACTGGTGCATACGCAGGTAATGGCATTCAGTACGTGATTCCGGCATTTCTGGTATTCTGCAGCCGAAAGGATTCCGCCTTAGTCTATGGACCTGAACTTGGCAATAAACATCTTTCTCCCTTTCGGCAATCTGGCTGGGTGTGGTTTGTGCTTTTCTGGGCGCTGACCTGTTTTATCTATGTCACAGCCAATATTATTCTGACTGATGTCAACCTGTAAACAGGAGCAAGCCTGTCTCAGAAAGTCTGAACCTCATGAAGGATGTAAGAACTGGCCATGGAACGATAACGTGCCCTCCACTGCCACAATGTCACTTTTTCAAGTTATGAGGCTGGTCCTCATATTTTGTCGAAACCCACCCCCTTCCCTTCCTCAGAACACTGCATCCCTGTAGGAATTACTGTTGTGTTTTCAGAGTGGAATATAACAGCAGCTGGCATGATGAACTTCACTCTGAATTCCAGACTGTGATATATATTTAAGTGATGCCTGTCTCTCAGTGCCTTGCTCTTTAATCAGATGGAGGGAAAACTGCAAAGATGGTACTGCCTGTACTTATGCTGTCTTAAAAAAATATCAGATTAAGACTGAGTTTTGTCCAAGTACTTGTTCATCCTCCGTAATGAACCGCTCATATACCTCTTTATGTGAAACAAGGTGGCCGGTTGCACTCATCAAGAGGATGCCGACACATGCCCTGGCCTCGGTTCCTAAGCCTTTCTCGTTCTTTGTGGCCAGGAGGTGGTTTACAAGACCTGCTGCTATAGACTAACATTATTAACAAGCAGAATAAAAGTAAAAGACATTGGTATGGTGTTTACCATCCACATGGTGTTCACCATCCACAGGAATCATATACTCCATCCCTATCTCAGCATGTATCCAGCACACCGTGATTACGGATGCTGCTAGTCCTGATTAAATTCCCCCACCCTCTTCTGCTCCCAACACCCATCAAGAGCAGAGGTGATTTATGACTACATTATTCCAAGCTTTGATTAAATTTTGTACAAGAGGCAACTTTGCCTTTTACCATTCTGACAATATGCACAATATGTTAGACTGATATGTTTGTGTAGTGAAAAATGTGTACAATGCTTGTTGTTACATAATATTTGGTTTAAACCACCAAAGTGTTTTGAAAAGGATCAAATTGCTAAAATTATTTTATTTTTCTACCCCACAAATCCTGGGTTTCACATTTTTTTTTTGTCTAAATATTTTATTTTAAAGAGGAACTGTCACTTCTCTTCAAACTACACCTTTGAATAAAACACCTATAACTTGTATTGACTTTTTTTGTTGTGTGATGCTCTGTTTTCTTTAACCCCATAAGGATGCACGACTTTCTGTCGTGCTTGTAATTCATTCAAGGGCACCGTCATGCTGTATTTTCCCAACAGACTGTTTTCCTGCTGGTAACTATGAACACCAGGTATCTTTTGATTCCTGGGGCTTCCCTTTGTCACCTATGGCCAAAATTAGTGGCCCCAGACTGACTGACTGCTCTGTTTGCGTGAGCAAAATGTGAGTGTTGCAAACAGGCATTTAAATGGGGATGTAAATACCCATTGATACTTCGAGCTCGCCTTTATCAGCTGCACCCATTTTCCGTAGACCTAGACTTTTTGATGAGCTGCATACAGTGCTAAAAGTAAGCACTGCCTGTAGCCCTTTAATTTATCAAGCTCAACTACAATCATTCTCTTACTAGATATGGTGCTTGGGACCCCCAGAGCCTGAACACCCTACATGCCCCAATGCCATTCTGATCAGTCCTGGGCTTTTTCTGTTGCCCAGCACCGATCGCAATGCATTGGGCATGCTATCTTCAGTATTAGAGATAGGAGACTGCCATACTGAAAATAGCCAAATAAATAACTGTTCAGGCACTCCGGAATAACAAAAATAGCAGCTTGATAAAGACCTGGTAGGGTCCAAACGTTGCTGCCTAAAC